GTTCTAGGCCTCAAACAATGAGGCAAAGTATGAAGCCTTGCTAGCCAGCATCAGGATGTGCAAGGCGGCAGGGGCAACAAGAATTGTCGCTTGCTCTGACTCGCAATTCGTCATAAGCCAATATAATGGTGTCTTTGAAGCCACCCATCCGGTTATGATCAAATACTTGAAGGCGGACAAGGATGAAGCTGGGACACTTGAAGACTTCAATTTAAGACAAGTGCCCAAATCGACAAATCAAGCAGATGCTCTGTCCAAAGTGGCGTCATCCGTCTCCTATTAAACGCCTTTGTCAGTCTTTTTAGAAGTCGTGGAAAAAAGAATTATATCTGATGAGGACCCCATTGGAGTACTTCACCGAAGCTCTACCTGGACGGACAGCATCCGCGCATACCTAACAGACGACAATCTCCCACATTCACCTCAGGAGGCGGCCGTGCTGAAGAAACGAGCTGCAACCTTTGAGATAAGGCAAGGAGAGCTCTTCAAAGCAGGTTTCCTGAAGCCACTTTTGAAGTGTGTGAACCCAGAAAAGGGGCAAGAAATCCTTGAAGAATTGCATCTTGGATACTGTGCCTCTCATATAGGCGACAAATCCTTAGCTGTCAAGGCTAGGCGGCATTACTTTTGGCCTACCTTGGAGTCGGATGCTATGGAGATGGTTAAAAAATGCGACAAATGTAAAAATTTTGGCAAGTTAATCCATCTTTCGGCCACTGACCTAATGACAATCCACAATCCTGTGCCGTTTTCCAAATGGGGCATGGACATTTTGGGCCCATATACGGCTGCTCCAGGCGGCAGGCGTTACATCTTAGTGGCTGTGGATTACTTTACCAAATGGGTAGAGGCAGAGGCGATCAAAAACATCAAGACAAAGGACGTCATCTCCTTCATTTGGAAGAATATCATCACCCGCTTTGGGGTGCTTATGTCTATGGTTTTTTACAATGGTCCTTAGTTTGAGACCACTCACCTAAAGACTTGGCTGGGAGATCAAGGGATCTCCAATTATTTTGCATCAGTCGGCCAACCCCAAGTAAACGACCAAGGTGAAGCCTTTAACATGTTAATCTCAGACAACATAAAGAAGAAAATTGAGAGAGTTGGCAGCCTATGGGCGGATGAATTACCACATGTCCTAAGGGCCATCATAACAACAGAAAAAGGGGAAACTGGAGAAAACCCATTTCTCACGGTGTATAGGGAAGAAGTTGTCTTGCCCATTAAGCATTATGAGCCGATTCTTCGGATTATGCTGTATGATGAAGATGCAAACTAGGAGGCAATGCGCCTAGCATTGGACTCACTCCCAGAGCGCAGGGGCAATGCTGCCTTGCGCCATGAGATCTGCTACCTGAGAATGACTTGAGCTTACAACAAAAGAGTACACAAACACCCTTTAAAAGTTGGGGACTTTGTGTTACGGAAAATGGAGGCAGTTGGTAGGGCGAATGAATAAGGGAAGTTAACCCCTGATTTTGGGAAGGCCCTTACCGAATCTATAAAGAAGTAAGAGGTGGCACCTATCGCCTGGAAACACTAGACGGAAGGAGGCTACCCCAAACCTGGACTATAGATAACCTAAAGAAGTATTACTTCTGAAATTTGGTAAAGTTTTTTGACTTGTTAATGAAATTTTGCCTTCATGTCATACTTGTCTTTATTTTGAGTACCGATTGTACAAAGTGCAGAAGGACCATACTCACAGCAATGAAGGATGCCGCATGTACTATGTGCCGGCGGATCCTACTTACCCTCTATAGTACCGCCTGCACAACATGCAGACGGACAAATTTTTAACTAATTACGTCGTTCGAACACCACCTACATAATGTGCAGACGAACGATGTTGAGATTTTACGAGCTACCGTCTGCAATATGCAGATGGCTAAGCACACTCTAAAACTTAACATGATTAAGGGACCGTCTGCCCCAACAACAAACGCCCAAGAAAGGACCTAACTGTACCAAAATAGTCGTCCTAAAACCTATCCTTAAGCCAAGTTAATAACTTGGCAGCTAATCACTCTTTATTTAAAGCTAAGTCAATGACTTAGTGACTACTTATTAATTAAGCGAGGCCAATGGCCGGATGAACATTATTCAAACCACCGTCTGCTCCAACATGAGTACGTCTGTCCGCTCCATCATGAGTTAGACAACCAGCGATGTCCATCCGGGCGAATGCGTCGAGGAGAAGCATTTCCCATTTGGGTGGCACATTGCTCTACAAATGCAACAAGCGGGCCCTACCGAACGCACTAAGGCAGTGCTCGTAGTAATTTGATTTAATCTAACTTGAAATCTAAAAAGCATTGAGTTTTCCGGCTGTTCTAGCACAGACGGAAGACGACAATTATTTCATGTTTAGAGGCTACTTTACCGAATGTCCTTGCTATAGGGCAAGGCAGGCGGACCAATCCATTTTCAATGAATATCCTAAGTTAAAAGACTTAGTATTTTTTCTATATTACTCGAGGCCTTTAGCCGGATGCATTCAAGGAACTATCGGCTCTATATGGCCGTTTGTCGCTTGGTTTGGGGAAATCCCCCATAAGTGGTTGATTGACTTAGAAACCATTCATGCTCTTTAAAGTATAAAAATTTTTAAGTCAATCAATCCATGCAACTGAAACCAAACGACTTCCGGCCAGGGGCAAGAACATTCGCATACTATACAGGTTAAATAACTTAGCCAAAATTTCTATCCATAAAAATTAAAAGCTTTGAAAATTTTAAAGCATAAGCACCAATATAAATAAAACCGGTCAAACGACCGGATGCTTCATTAAAGTAACAGTCGTTAAAACTGACCATTGTAGATGTGAACTGGAAAAGCTAAGAATTTTTAAGTTACCCGACCCCTTGGTTGGTAAAAGATACATTAATACTTGGCACATAGGTCATGAAAGCAAAATATTTGGCCATTCGGCCGCCGAAAGAAAGAACTTAAAGCTTAAAGATCAGGGGAGCTTCTCAACATTGGCATCCGCCCTGTTCTCCAGCGCATGCTCCTTTGTCTCCTCATTCTCCCCCTGATCATCCTCCTCGTCCCCAGAAGACGAGTCACCAGACGAGCTCGACTCCTCCGGGGCATCCTTGGAAGCCGTTGATGAGTTTCATTTATGGCACTCATTTGGTCTCTTTTTGGATGATTTTCATGCTATTTATAGCTCTTTTCCTTAGTTTTTCTTAGTTTTGTTCTTTATTTCGTTAGTTTGTGCTTTCCATAGTTAGTTTCCTTGTTTTATGCATTTCTTTGTTTATTTGTTCTTTTTCCCTTTTATTTGTTTGTTTTCGTTTGTTTTCAGGTTATGATCGTGTTTCCAAGGATTCCCGAGACTTCCTTTCATATTTCTCATCAATTTTGATGCCTCATGTTCGCCTTTTGGAGCTTCAAGTTTGAAGGAACGCAAGGAGCAAGTCAAGCGATCAGTGCACGTATGCGGTGGGGGCATCATCTTTAGCATGAAACCACCAAATTATCCATTTCAAGACCGCCTACCTTAGTGTTCATCATCATCACACAGACGAGCGCACGAGGATGAGCTAGGACGAAGAAGAGGGGGGCTCCCCTGCTGCCAGGTGCGGGCGCTCACGCAGGTGGTGCGGCCGCACACCTGGGTGGCGCCTTTCCTCTGATGCAACCGCGCCTTCTGGGGTTTCTTTTGGGACGATCTAATTAACTCTTCTTTTTGTATCTTTCCTATATATAGTTTTTCCTTCTATTTTTAGTGGGGAAGGAGAGGGGAATGAGAATTAGTTTTTAGATAAAAAATTAGAGAGATTTTTAGAGAGAGAAACTCTAGATTTTTAAAGAGAGAATTTCATGGTGTATTGTTGATGATTGTAGATTTCTCCATTTCCTTTAATTTTTGATCAAGTTTGTAAGGATTCCTTTTCTTTAATTCAATCCTTAGTTTATTCTTTAGTTTGATTTGAATTGTTTGTTGAATGTTCAAGTTTGATTGAAGTTTGATTGATTTGTGTTTGAGTTTAGCTTATTTGATTTGATCATGATGAATTTGTTGCTTAGTGTTGTTTTGATTTTGATCTCAATGGCTAGTGAATTGATTGCTTGCTAGGGTAATGGTGAAGTATGTATGAGTAATGGATTAGTGCTAATTGGGGATAATTGATGGAGTTGTTAATGTGATTAAATTTGGTTGATGATCATGTGCATGTGTGTGATTGATTGAAGATTGGCCAACTTTTATTGTTGCACTAGATTGCATTGTAAGTTCACATTGATACGGATCATTGATTTGTGGCTTGCATTTAAACGATTGAGGTGTCTCGTGAAGTTTCCTAGATAGAGTTTATCATAGTTGACGCTAGTTAGACCTCTAGGAGAATAGCTTGATATGCTCTATTGGTTTCATGATTGGTCTTCCCTCACATTGTTTGACTTAGCCAATTTGGGCTTCCAATTAGTTGATTCCATTATGACTACATGTGGATCCTAGCCCTAGTGCTTATTACATTTGGTTTCTTCTCGTTTAATTGCGTGTTTGTCCTAGTATAGAAATCACACCCTATCTCTAGACTTCGGGATAGCTTGACTATAGACAATAGGCAATCGCCCACCATTCCTTTGGGTTCGACCCTTGACTTACCATATACTAGTATAGGGTTGGTTAAGTGTTTACAAATTTAGTTTGACTTTTGGGAAGGGTAGATAACGATCTACAATTTCCGCTCGTCAAAATGGCGCCATTGCCGGGGAACGGTGTTGTGATTGTGTATTGTTGTTGAGTCTATTCCATATTATTCAAAAATACAAAAAGAATTTTTTTCTTTCTTTTAGGATACACTTGTAGCCGCGTTACTAACAATTTCTTTTGAGTTTTTGCATGCATAGTAGAACTCATGATAGGTCCTTAGTTCCTTTGGATCTCAAAACTAAAAGAACTCTTTCACGAAGAAGGGTAGCCAACCGGTATTTGAGCCTAAGTTCCTCAAGTGAAGAAGAGTTTGAGGAAGAAGAAGAGCAAGCCATGGGAGAGAATCCAAGAGTAGCTTTGAAGGAGTTGGGAATTCTCGGTGCTTATAGGTTTGAGAGTGGCATTGCTCCACCTACAACACCGGTGAACGATTTTGAAATTAGACCGGCCATGATTACTTTGATAGAAAGGAGGCAATTTAGTGGAGCCAAGAGTGAGAGCCCGTTGAATCACCTAAAGGAATTTGAGAAGTATTGTAATACTATCAAGGTGAATGACATTTCTCAAGAGTTCATTCGGCTAAAGTTGTTTCCCTTTTCTCTTATAGGTCGTGCCTTAGAGTGGTTGGATAAAGAGGTTAAGCCAAATTCCCTTAGGACGTGGGATGAAGTCACAAAAGCTCTCTTGTCTCGCTTTTACCCACAAAAGAAGACGGCGGAGGCTAGAGCCTTGATCCAAGGATTCAAACAACGGCCTAATGAGAATCTCTATGAAGCATGGGAGAGGTACAAGGAGTACCAAAGAGAGTGTCCACATCATGGAATTCCTACCTATCAAGTGATACAAATTTTCTATAGAGGTTTGAGTGCTCAAGGCAAGTCATGCCTAGATGGAGGAGCCGGAGGTCCTATAATGAATAGGACGGAAGAGGAGGTAGTTGACATAATTGAGGATGTGGTGAGATATTATAGAGATTGGCAAGAAGGAGAGAGAGAGTCTACGAGCAAGAGTGGCTCGACGGTTTATTCAGTGGATCATCTCAACGTGATTAACAACTTATCCTCCCAAATTTCAAATCTAGGGAAGGAAGTGACGTCGATCAAAGAAAAGCTTGAAAGTGTTTCTACAAATTCATTGAGTCTTCCCTCCCAATCCAAAGGGAGAGGTACACTTTCTAACTCTTCTCCTTCTACTTCCAATAACATGCCATGTGGTTGTCTATTTTGTGATTCTTGTGGATCTTATGATCATGATTCTTCCATGTGTTCTCAATATTTTGTTGATGGGTGTGATGATGTTGAAATTAATGAATGTGAACATGTGAACTTTGTGTCTAATTCCAATGGTGGTGAAAGGTTTGATGGACCTAAGAATTTTAGTAATAAGAATTCTCACCCCCAAGGTGGTTTCAATAACTACAACAATGGAGGCTATAGGAACCAAGGAAACCAAGGTTTTCAAGGTAACTATAACAACCAAGGCTGTAGTAATCAAAACCCGAGCCATGGGTATGGTAACCAAAGTCAATCTCAAGGCTTTGGTAATCATTACCATAATGGTGGCAATAGTCAAGGCCGTGGCAATTGGAACAACAACCAAAATCGGGGAAGTTTTCAAAATAACAACCAAAGGGGACCCCCACCCGGTTTTGTTCCAAAGCCTCAAGGCAATGGTGAAAATTCTTATTCCCAACCATCATCGTTTAAGACAAATTTGGAAGAAATGATTGATAACCAAACCAAGATCATCAACACATATATGACGGTGAGTGACAAGAAATTTAATGAGATGATGACTCATAACAAAATGCTTGAGACACAAATAACCCAACTAGTCAAAACTCTAAAGGATTGTGCTAGTCCATCCTCTTTGCCTTCTCAAGGAGTGGAACCTAAGAAACCCGTGTAATCTATCACCACTAGAAGTGGGAGAGTTCTTAATGAGGAAGCTTCTAGGTCCATTGAGGAGGATGAGGGGAGTTACCCAAGAGTGGAAGATGAGAAGGTTGTGTCTAAGAGTGTGAGTTATGAGGAGGTGCAAGAGAAAAAGAGGAGTAGTGAGAAAGAGCGTGAGGAAGTGTGGAGACCCGACCTTCCATACCCACAAAAATTCTTGAGGCACAAAATTGATGAGCAATTTGGAAAGTTTATTGTTATGCTCAAGGAAGTTCACCTTTCTATCCCCTTCACCGATGCAATTACCCAAATGCCTAGGTACTCTAAGTTCCTTAAGGAGATTTTGAGTGGGAAGAGAATGTGTAATGAAGTTGATTTGGTTGAAGTTGGGAGTTGTTGTAGTTCTTTCATTCATAATGAGTTGCCCAAGAAGATGGAGGATCCGGGAAATTTCTCTATTCTATGTGAGATCAAAGGGAAAATGTTTAATAATGCTTTTTGTGATCTTGGAGCTAGTGTGAGCGTCATGCCTTATTCCATTTTCAAGAAACTCAAGTTAGGTGAGCTCCTCCCATCTAACATAACCCTTCAATTAGCCGATCAGACTATTATGATTCCAAAGGAGAGAGTTGAGGATGTTCATCTTAAGATAGGAGGGTTCACTATTCCCGTGGATTTCATTGTGCTTGAGATTGCGGAAGATGACCATATCCCTATCATTTTAGGAAGACCTTTCTTAGCCACTTCGGGAGCCTTAATAGATGTGAAAGGAGGTCGTATTACCTTGAGAGTTGGTAAGAAAGAGGAAAGCTTTGATTTGAAACCAATGCATGAGTCTTTGTCTCTTGTGCAAGGAATTATGTGTGCTAATTCCCCTCGCTCTATTGATAATGTGTGCATGATTAATTCTTCAACTAACGATGTTCTTGAGAATTGTGATGATGTTCTTTCAAGTTTTGATGGCAAGAAGGTTAGTGAAGAGAAAATGATGATTCCCAAGCTTAAGGACGAGGAGGAAGTTGAAATCCCTCATTGGTTTGAGCTCTATCCTCAAGATGGAGGGGATATTTCCATGAGTATTAATGGTGAGGAACCATCTACAATAAACAACAAGCCAAAGAAAAAAGCTTGTGATTCTAAGAAGAAGAGAGAGAGAAAGAAGTTACGGAAAGAAAAATTTGCAATTGAAAAGTCTTTGAAGGAAGTTTCATCAAGCAACAACAAGGGGTTGCTAGAAGTTTAAAAAGAATTTTCTCTTTCCGCTACCTTGAAGAAGGTGGTGTTCTTTGACCCTCCATGATTTGGAGGAAGGGTCGAGCTTAGGACCATTAGCAAGCGCTTCCCGGGAGGCAACCCGGAGATTTCTAACTTTTCTTCTTGATTTTTGAATTTCTCTTATTTTTTCCTTCTTTTAGTTTCTTTTCTTTCACTTTTCTACTTGATTGGATTTGTAGGTTGCATTTTCGGGATTGGATTTTATCAAGTGAGCATGAAGAATGAGAAGGTATTTTGCGGTTATTGATGGGATTATACTCGATTTTATCGAAATTTGAGGTAAAAGGGTAAGAATCTTGGTGAGTTAAGTTAGGGATTTTGTGCTTTAAAGTTGAAGGAAGTTTTCACTTGGTGGGTTCTTATGGAGGGTTCATGAAATTCTAGTTTTGAACCCATTAAAACGGGCTTTTACTACTGCCTATGTTGGTGTTTATCATCATCATTATTCGTGTACCCACCAATGAACGCAGCAAGAACTTAAAAAAAAAGAAGAAGAAGAGAGAGCTTGGCTGGGCTCAGGTGCGGGCGCGCACGTGCCTGGTGCGGCCGCGCACCTGGTTGATGCGGCCGCGCATCAGCCTGTGCCCCCTTATCTTCCTTCCTTCCTTTTCTTCTTTCATTTCCCCTTATTTCTCCTTCATTGCTTCGACCCCCATCATCCTTAAACCCTCAAGACCGCACCGCACACTTCAATAACTCATCAAAATTTCAAGTTAAATCACTCAAATTTTCACTCCAAATTCACTAAAACCTTCTACATTTTCATCCAAATTATCAAATTCATACTACTTTCATCAAATTAAACCTCCAATCTCTCTCCTCCATACTTGGGTATAATTTGGGGTTTTTCTATTTGGTGGAAATTGGTGGTTAAAAGTGGTTCAATCTTGCTTCATATATGGTATAATCATCTTCTCTAGCTTTTAATTGCCTAAATATGTCATATGTTTGCAAGTTTTGATTTTTTCATGAGCATGAATAGTGGTAGTACCAACTTTTATGATTTTGATGGTTGATATTGATTTTTGGTTGATTATTTGAGTTGTTTGTCGTTTGATTTCACATCACATTGTGTTGTTTGTTGATTGTGTGGGAGGAAATTGTTGGTTGTTTGGTGTTGTTTGGTAATTTGGATTGGAATTGTGATTTGTGGATATTGAAGTTCTTGGTTGGAGATTTTGCGGATTGTTGTGGGAATTTTGTGATTGGTTTTTTGTGATCCTTGCACTTGAAGTTCATCATGTCGAGAGTCCTCAAAAACCTTGTCAAGAAATGCAAAACAAACACCTTAATTGATGAACCTACCCTAAGCACATCCACCCCCCAAACACGCAACCCTACTCCACCACCCAAAAGAAAACTCCACGATAAAAAACAAAAGAACCGATACCATAAATTAAAGGAAAACCGCTCCCTCAAACCCACAAGACACTACTTCCAACCCGACATGTCCGCAAGTTCTTTGCTAGCGCACCTATGTTGAGCCCACTCTCAAGTTCTTTGCTACGATTGAGATAGTTCCCGTAGAAGGTGAATATAGGGTTCAATTCCAAATTTTCAACAACTTCTTCGACCAATCCTTAGAGCAATTCAACGCCACTCTAGATTTTGATCTTCATGGTGACATCTTGGATCTAGAGCCTTATATTTTTGAGGAGTATGATCAGGATTCTTTGTGGGACGATATCTCCGGAGGTGGTGAGTTTGTCACCAAGAGGGCCAAGATTAGCAATGTGTACCAACCTTGCCTTCGGGTTGTTCATCGTCTTTTGGGGTACTCGATTTTCCCCAAGCAAGAGTTGGGCAAGATGAGCAAATTGGATCTCAAAATTCTATGGTTGGCAACTAGAGGAGAATATCGTGGCCGGTTGAACTTAGGGTACATCTTTGCCACTTATTGTGTAGCCTTGCAAGACCGGGACACCGGGGAGATTCCTTGTGGGGGAATGGTCACTAGGCTCTTGACCAACCTCCACCTTGATGATCATTTGTCTTATTGCAAGCTGGTTGGAGATGTCGACTCTGTGTACCTTGATATGTAACAATTGGGGCAAATTCAATTTATCTCCAAGCATTATCAAGAGGGGCATTATGAGTGGCTTTGGGATAAAAAGCATTGGTGCTACCTTCCCAACCCATCTTTGACATCTATCCACCGGACGGACACCCCTAATGTGTGGCATGTCCCCAAGAGCTTCCGTCGCCCCTTCTTTGACTCCGATGAGGAAGAAGAAGAAGAAGAAGAAGATGAGGAAGAACAACATCAACAACAACAACTTCATCATCAACAACAAAAAGTCATCATCAACATCAACAACAACAACAACAACAACAAGGGCAAGTGCAACAACCTCAATTTGCTAGCTCCGACTTGGAGGCCCTTAGTAGCCAAATAAGTGGGTTGCAAATCCGCTTGGAGGGCATGTATGACCAAAATTTTGAGGCCCTCTACTCTCAAATGCGAGGTATTTCCGAAATGCAACAAGGTATGTTCATTCAACAACAACAACTCTATGATGCGGAGGTTAACTGAGGGAGCATCACTCCCCCGGTTAACTATCCTTACTTTTCGCCCCAACAACGTCCTATACCTTTGCATGGGCATCCTTATTGGCAAGGGCCTTTAAATCCCGGTATCGAGCCTCGTTCTTACCCGGACGAGCGTGGTAACTTCGATTACCGTGCTCCCGGAGGGTGTGACTATAGGGGTGACCCTAATTGCCCCTATGTGCACCCTAACCATCCATTTGAGCTTACCTTGCCCGAGAAATTCACACCTCTTGCCCCTTGGCAGCAAGATAACTTCAAGGGGCATTATGGTTGGCCCGAGAGATTCACCGGAGGTTGGGCTCCTTAATCACCCCAACCTTCGATGACTACATGGGCAACAATGGTTCTAATGAAGCCGGGCCAAGTGGTGGTGGTAATGATGAGTCTTAGTTCCCTCTCTTTTGTGACTCTTACCTCCATCCCTTATGTTTATGTACTTGATTTGTATTGGTGGGATGTTGAGATGTATTCATGTTTAGCTTGGGGGAACTTCTTTGTATCTCGGTTGCCAATATTTGTTGTTGTTGCTTACCTTGTATTTTATTTTCCTCTTGCATGATGGTTTTCTTATCTTGGTCTCTAGTCTTGTTGATGCTTGTTGCTAGTCCCATGAGTTTGTTTTTCCATTGTTGTTGTGATGATTTCCTTCTGATGATGTTGATTGTTTCTTGTTCCCTTATATCCAAAACCCTTGAATCCAAATACCTTTGAATCCAAATCTTGTAGTCTAGTGCCTTTTAGTTAGTTAGTTGTTTAGTTTTTTACATAGTTTTTCTTTATTTTCCGTTTTGGTATTTGTTAGCCTAGTTTTGCTCAGTTGTTTAGTGTTTTTGTTAGCTTCGTTTAGTTTTACTTTTTAGTATATTTTTCTTTTGTTTTGAAGTTACTAACCTTCTTCTTTGTCTATAGCTTTTTTTACCTTTCTTGTTCTCACATGGCTTTTTGATGATGCTTACGATTTTAGAGCGCCTCAAACGTGGTTCTTTCTATCGCCTTTGTTTATTATGCTAAGCATGGATAGCCCGGTGAGACCTTTCTAATTTTTTCTCTCTATTTTCTTTAGATGCATAGATTATGTTTAGTTTAGGGGAAGTTAAACGGTTCGTGGATGATTGCTTGTTAACACGTAATGTGTTTGGGATCGTTGACGATGTTGTCATCCGATCACTTGTATGTCGATTGGGATATATGTGTTTAACTTGCTTTCTAGTTCCTTTCTCAGTTTTTCCTATTCTTGCTTTATCTATGGCTCTCCTTTTCTTTTCTTTTCCTTTTACTTTTACTTTGTTCTTGTCTTGGTATGTGGTATGCTTTTGAGGCTTATTTTTCATTTTTATTTTCCTTATGAATTGGACTTTGTACATTAGACTTTGTCTGTTGAACGAGTTTCTTCCTAGGTAGTAAAGGTATGCACGGTTTGAGACTATGCTTGGTTGACTCTAGGATAGGTGTATGCTAGGGTAGTTGGTTTGAACTAGGAGGATCATGAAGCCGAATTCTACTTGTTTGTGGCATGTTGGTAGTTGCTTCCTATAGTCGATTTGACACCATTAGCGAGTTTTTGCTACATCCATGTGAGGTTCATCATTTTTAAAGCCTTCAACCTATTTTGTATGAGCGGCGTGGATCCTTGACTATTGCAAACCTGATCCATAAAGCTTTATTTATGATTTTTAAACCCGAGACAAAGCTATCTAAGGAGGACAAAGGCACCTTTTTCTGTGTGGTATTTTTCATATTTAGGATAGTTTGTTTAATATTTGTTTTTGGGTTTACATTTGCCTTCTTGCAACCATTTGAGCCTATTTCCTTCTTTTCAAGCCACATCTTTAGATCTTTGGCTTTTTGTTTCATTTTCATTCTTTTCTTGTTTTTGTGAAGCAATTGATCATTCTTGGTGGAGTTTGTGGTGATATAGTTGGGATATGTGGTTCCATTGATGCAAGCTTGTGATTATGTTTTCTTTGAGAATAATGGCAAATGAGTATGAGTAAAATCCGTCCTTATTAAAGGCATGGACAAATAAGTGCTATATAAAAAAAAAGCTGTCCGAATTTAGAAAAAGGCAAGGACAAAGCAAAGCTTAAAAAAAGAAAACCAAAAAATTGAAAAAGTGAAAAATTCGGAAACATTTTGATGTATTCTTTTCTCCTTCTAAGCATTGAGGACAATGCTTCATTTAAGCTTGGGGGAGAAGCGTTTACGCTTTTTGTACATATTCTTGTGAGTTTAGCTTTGAATAAGCTTGGGGGTGTTGTCGTTTTTGTTTGGTGATTTTTTGATCGTGGTGTTGAGGATTGATCACCCTTTTACTTCGCTATTTAGGAAAACCGCCAAATTTTTAAATTTTATCCTACCTTCACCCTTTATGCCTTACGTTACAACCTTTGGGAAAGCCCTTTTGATCTAGAAGTTGAG